GAACCTGCTAAAAAAATTTAAATGCTCAAATTAAATATAAAAACAATATCTGAGCGCGTACAGCAGCTGTTCAGGTAAATGTAATTTATCTTCTGCGCTGCAGATCAGCAACAGTGTCCTGATAACTGCAGCTGAGCTTTGGGTAAAGGTCATTTTTCCTCTTTTAGGTGCCTATAGAAGTCACTTAAGACTGAACTGGAGCAGAGGCTGAAAGCACCGTGTGCTCCCGAGGGCCGACACTAAAGTGAAAAACACTTTGGTGACACCTGTAAACACAGACTGCTGTTGGGGTGGAGTTAGAGGGTGATGGCACTCTTCCAAATGTTCAGTAAGCCTTGTTTTTATCTTAAGGTTCAAGGTCAAAGTTTGAGAACAGAGAATCATAAAGGATCTGAAGACTTTAGTTGAAGTGGATCAGTGTAGTAATGGCAAAGGAGCGAAAGAGGAGAAGAGGATGGAGAGAAGCACTGGGTGTGAAAAGAGGAGAGATTAGAGGAGTGGTGAACTTAAAAGCTGAGAGAAAGATGAATAGAACAGGAAAAACATAAGAGGTGAGGAAAAATCCATGGGGAGGAACATTTATGGGGAAGACAAAAACCAGGAGACGGGAAACAGGAAACAGGAGTAGGAGAGGAGCAAAACAGAGAGGTGAAATTCAGAGAGAAGAATCTAAAATGAACGGTGGAAAAGAGGGAAAAGGAGAACTTTAGGACTGAAAAGGGAAAGTGATATAATTAAGAAAGGAACTGAAATAAAAGTGGAAATGAGAGAGAAACTAATTAAAGGAGACACAGGGGGAGAGAGAAGAAGAATAGGTGGAGAAGTGAAGGAGGTGAAGAAGGGAAGGTAAAAAGGAAGGAATTGATAGCAGAGGGGAGGAGACGGGAGGAGAAAATGGAGCGTGGAGGAGGAGGTGAGGATTGGGAGAAGATTTACAATGAAAAAGATGAGAAAGAAGAGCTTGTAAAAAAAGAAGAAGAAGAAAGAGGACTGGGTGAGGAGGAGACAAACTGCCTCTCTTCTGTCTTCTTCCTCCTCTTACTTTTTAAATTCAGCAAGATGAAGTATTTACCTGTGAAATAAACGCTCAGCGACTCCGGCAGACCTGTTGGGGTTAAACAAAGAAAGGAGTTACAGCCAGGAAGCGATAAAAGTAAAAAACAGAGGATTCATGCAGAGGTGACGGCGTGCTTCACTAAAGAGAAAAGCCCATACTGTATAAACTCAGAGGCAATGAGGATGATTTACTAATGCAAAGCTTCCACTGGAGCTCCATAAACCCAGATTAAGAAAATAAAAGTATGCTTTGATCTCGGATTATGGAAGATCTTTTTAAACGGAGGTCTGTGCTTCTGGAAACATCTTAGCGTCCTCTGATAGTTTTCGAAATGCTAAAACTCTGCTCTTCCTCGTCCAACCCATCCACCTCTTCAAATACTAACCATGCAAGGCTAATTTTAAAGCTTTGCAAGAATAAATGTGATCACGAGTGGCAATAAAAGACAGAAACACTAAAGACTCATAATGATTAACACGTAATACAGTAATATAAACGTTCAGTTAGGACCATTTGTTTTGGGACAAGCAATCAATATGTGATTGAAGTTTGAGGGGTTTAACAATTTTTACACACAGTCTCCCATTTTCAGAAGCTCAGATGTAATTAGACAAACTATTAAAGCCACGTAAGGCTTTAAAAGCTGTTAGGATATCTGTTTTTACATCTAACAGTTAGCCAGTGTAGACGAGGTCCACTCTGAGTGGGGCAAAGTCACAATTTATAACAAAAAAGTGTAATATAATTGACCAGAAAGTGGACAGTCATGACGGGTTTTAAAGGCATGATTTTAGCCCAGAGTGACGATTTTATCAGAAGCATCCAGGTGAAAAGGAGGAGATGATGGAAGAATCCAGCTTTGGGAGAGAGTTGTTTTTTTAAAACAAATTAAAAGACTCAGACTTGACACTGACTGTTTCCTGATAGCACCTGTGTGACCTTAAGGCTCTGCAGTCGGCCTGATACGACGTGTTAACGGCAAATGATTATTGAACCTTGGTGCAAATGGTGTCTGTCAGTGGATAAGACTATTCAAACCCTTTATTTTAGTTGCAAGCTTCGTGTTTACAACATGAGCATTCGGTTTACTTACAAAGCTCTATAATGTAGTGATAGACAAATAACAACAAACTGAACCAGTGAAGTGGGACTTATTATTTTTCATATATTAAATATTAAAGTGCAATGAGTGCTGTGCGCTTTTAATAAACAGCACAGTGAGTGACAGTGGGCGCCACTGAGATTAGATAAACTTCAGCTCTTGTGTTATATAAAGCTGAGATCACTCCTTCAAAGTACTTGTAGCGGGCAAAGTTTAAAATAACTCATGTCAGCTGCTTGACATGAATTATGTTTGATTTTTCAGGAAAACTAATCGACAGATAGTTTAAACAAAAACAATCAAAGAGGTAAAACAGTGTAATTCAGTGACGGGTCTCTGAACTAAGTACATCTGGCTGATCTGGTGCATAAAGGAGCTGGAGGTGAAGTGTGAGTAGCATCTTACCGGTGAAGGAGTACTGGTAGAGCTCCTGGAGGTGTGATGGAGCCTGCGGTGGTCTGTAGATGATCTTGCCGTTACTCACATCAGCCTGAGTGAAATGTTGCACGTGTGTGTATGGCCTGTCCCGATGCTCGATGGTCCCTGGAAACAAAAAAATCAGCACATGATGAGATTTTGTTTGAGCGTGTAGCAAGTGAAACAGTACAGAGAGCTGACCGGGTCACGAAAGATGCTGAGAATAAAGCTGGAAGTGAGATGTTAAAGGCCAAAACAAAACATTAATAAAGGAAATAAAGAAATACAGGATGTGAGGTCACAGGGGCTGAGCAAAGATGCTGTGACGTCCCTCTCCCCAGTTCATCTCTGCCAGCGCCTCTCAGAGGACACTGAGATATTCCCAAGCCTGTGTTCCCGGGGTCTCCTCCCAGCCGGACATGCCCCAAATACTTCAGATACGGGGTACCCAGGAGGTTTTTGCACATTGGAGTCTGAGGCAACATTTAAACAAGAATATCACAAAAACTAATAAAGATAAAAGCCTTAAATTTAAAGAAAAAAAAAAAGGTAGTTAGAGTGAATGACCCTTTACCAGCCTTTAGAGTTCTTGGCAAGATTATAGTTCAGTGTTAGAAATGTGCCAATTTCTATTTCATCAGTCTTATTAAAGATATATTTTGGGGACATTTTTGCCTTTGATAGTAAGAAAGGAAAAATGGCAGATAGAGGAGGGACAATAAAGAGCAGCGGGTCAGAGTCCAGCCCATATGATCATCTGCTCAACCAGTGCGCTAAACTGTCTTATAAGACTTTGTTAGAAGACTGTTAGCTACCTTGTAGTAAAGGAAAGCTGCATGCCATGCTTTAATTGAAACAATAAGGATGCTAATTTCTCCCAAACAGCTCTTCCCTCTGAAAATGTTTGGTGAAATCCTTTAACTTCCAACTTTATTCTTACAGAAAATCAGAAACGTCAACTTATTTTGACCAACATACTGTCATTTAACTAAAAACAAATAAAACTTTAAGGGTTTTTTTTTAAAAAAAAACTAAAAAATCATGAAAAATATTCCCACAAAAACAGAAGTTTTCCTCCTCCTTCCGTTTTGCTCCGTTCAAAAAGTCTACACACAAATTGATCAGTCCATTAGCTGATGAATATGACCCATTGTAAATCGCTTTTCTCTTTCATTAGACAGAGAGCTGAAAATGATGCAGCACTCTGACAGATGGTCCAGCGATGAAATGAATGTCTGAACGGCACATTAAATTCTGTAAAAATGAAAGCAATGCTCATCCTTATACACGGAAAGACGATAATGAAATTACTTTGGAGGGCGGCGACGCTACTGACGCAGACTTGGAAGCAGAAGGTTGGTAGTTTCTGCGACTCCAAGCTGGGAAAAGCCAAACTCTTGAGCCAGTCATTACAGCTAAGTGCTCTGCAGAACATGATCCCCCTTCCTAAACTTTGTAGTCTCACTTTATTTCATTATACACTAATAAAATGTAACAAGGTGCACTTTATATGCTCTTTATTAGCATGGGAACAAACACAGTTGTGGCCTCATAAGGCTCCTTACACATAAATTATGATCTAATATACTAAAATATACAACACTTGTGCTGTAACACACTAAATTACATCTGGATTAGCCTTTAAAATAGTGAGTTAAACACTGAGGTTGGTGGGTAACACATTCAATAAGCCTTTACACAGCTGGTTCACTTGGTGAAACTGAAATGAGGCCACATATGACCACAGATCCAGGTGTGATAAATGATATGGCTGCAGTACGAGTCTGTGTTGATGTACTGGTCCATGCACACTGCAACGCTCGCCTACTGTTGCGAGCCGGGAACAAAACCAAGATTGCTGGTAGAGATCAGAGCTGCTGCTCCACATCGAAAACAACCAGCTGAGGTGGTTCAGGTGGTCCAGCCTCTTGGATGAGGTGCTTCAGGCAACGGAGAGATTGCATCTCTCAGCTGGCTGGATATCCCCCAGAGCAGCTAGAGGAGGTGCCTGGTGAGAGGGAGGTGCGGGCATCTCTGCTTTCACTGCTATCCCTGCAAACTGATCCGGATAATTGGCAGAAAATGGGATTGGAAGGATGCCACTATCCAAAGGTAAAACCACTCTAGGGAAAATGACTTTCTTGGAGACTAATTTGGACACATTACAAGAGAAGTGTGTCGTAACATGATGTGCATGTACTTTGTTCCTCTTTTCCTCGTTATTAAACACAACATGAAATGAAGGTCAACATTTTAAAGGAATATTTTGGGTGACAAGTCTTAAAAAAACATGATCAGTTGTACATTTTAACCGACTTCTTTGATCAAACGACAAATTAACCGTGTGATAAACAAACATGGATCTGATGTCCTGATAGCCTCCCTAGAGTAACTTCCACTGAGCACTACGAGGTCTCAACCTGCAGGAAAGTAACGTTTTCTTCTAACGAGGTACAAATAACTCTGTAACAAGACTCATGCATTATGTACCCATAATAAAATGTAACAACATTTCAACTCCTCAGCAAACAAGAGATTAACAAGAAGTAATGCCTTACTCAGAAAGAACAAGACAAGTCTGCAGTGCTCTGTTATCCTCTAATACCAAAAGATATGACTGTACTTAGTCCTCATTTTAGATAATGTAAGACTTCCAGACAAGTATAAAACTCCCGTTCTCTGCACCTATTTGCACACCTCAGGTAAAAACTCTGAGCCTTGGTGCTTTCTCTCATGATTTGCTGTAGTTTTCTGTCCATTCTCACAGCTGCTTTACATTTTTGGTTTATTCTCATCAATACTAAATTTCATTTTTTGTGGTTTTGGTCATCACATTTCTGTTTTGCAGGCTCGTGTTTTGATTCGTTGTTATTCTAGTATTCTGAGCTTTAGTGCGCCTGGATTATGAAGTTCTGCTTCATGTGTTGGGGTAGTTGTGAATTCTTCAATTTCTGCATTCTCCCCCTCAGTTCGTTTATATTTCAGTGTCTTTTTGTTTCAGTTGGGGTCGTAGCTCTCTTCCTGTTTTATTCGGACAGCTAGTTTCCTCTTGTGTTGATTTGGGTTTTCATTCGTGTCCTGATTGTTTGTGCCTGTGTCTCATTCCCCAGCTGTGGTTATCACTAATCAGCCTTCTGTGTGCATACACAGTCCAGGCTTCCCAGCATGCTTTGCTAAGGAACCTTTTACTCCGTCTCTCTGTGCATTTCACGTGTGTTTGGTTATGTTTTTGCAGCCTCGGTAAATTGGCTCATTTCTGTGACACATAATTTGGTCTAATCATGTCTAATTGTGATATGACAGCACTACCATGTGGATTATGTGTCTGACCAAAATTTGGCTGTAAGGTGTCTATCTATTTTTCCACAGATGTTCTGGATGCAAAGAGTTTTCCAGTTTTATAACAATCCCCCCAACAACAAGAAGAAACTTTTGCCTCATTGCACCGCTCCATCCCACCAAATTGTGGATTAACAGCACCCGACTTGTGACTGTTTAAGTGATAATTAATGAGGAACAGTATAACTTCTTGACACTTTAACTTCTCCCTCTCCAGCTCTGAGCTGAAAATCAAACATGAACTCAGAAACCTACCCACTGTATCTAGTTATAAGGCTCCTACCCCCTGACAGGAGTTAGATTTTAATCCTTTTAATCTTTTCCACATTATGAGGGAAAAGCTGCATGAGTGTGTGTGTGTGTGGCTGACCTTGTCCCGATGGTAGAGGTTTGGTGATACTGTAGATGAGCTTCTCGCTGGGAGTCTCAGAGTCGACGAAGGACAGCGCTGAAGGTGTTATCTCTGTCACCTGATCCTCCAGAGCCTACACACACACACACACACACGTTAAGGTGAGAAACAAGGTAAACATAAGCTTCTATATCCTCTATTTCCAGGCAGAAATCAACAGAAAACAAACACAAACATAAGAAGGAGTCTCTTTAGGATCGAAAGCATTTCACTAGGAAAAAAACAAAAAAAGTTGTAAGATGCAAGAACAAACTTTTGGCTGCTCCCTTTTCACAGTGAAACTCAAAAATGTGTCAAAACAAACTCACTAATACAACATAATGTCACCAAAGCCACTTCACAATTTAAAAAAACCCAAATTATTCAGAGGAATACTTAAAAAACTAATTGTAATTGTAACTAATTGTTGTGTGACTAACAGGACAACCTGGATGTGTGTAGTCATTTTGGTGACACTGCGCTCTATTATCTATCTCTCACCCCAACCGGTCGCAGCAGATGGCCCCGCCCCTCCCTGAGCCTGGTTCTGTCGGAGGTTTCTTCCTGTTAAAAGGGAGTTTTTCCTTCCCACTGTCGCCAAAGTGCTGCTCATAGGGGGTCATATGATTGTTGGGTTTTTCTCTGTATCTATGAAGCGCCTTGAGGCGACTTTTGTTGTGATTTGGCGCTATATAAATAAAATTGAATGGAATTGAATATTGACTAATTTGTAAGTTTCTTCTTATAAATTTGTGTTTTTCTCTCCTCATAAATAAAATCAATCTTAAATATTGATGCGTTACGTTTTTTTGGATTTGCACTTTATAGATATTCCCCCACATGCTCGTCTCACACCCTGATGGAGGACGACTCCATCGTGGACTTAGACCAACTCGCCACAATGAAAGCGAGTTGGTGATTTGATGTTGTGGCTGAAATAATGTGTTGTGCTGTTGGTGTTTAGAAATGATTTGTATGATTTATTGGTCCCAGAAGTTGAAATGTGTGAATTCATTTCCATTTATCATAAATCATTTTTTTCTCATAAATTCATTTTCTCAACCTCACTGTGATCTTTTCTCTTGTAAATTTATGAGCTCATCTCTTTAAAATTTCTGAAGTTTTCTCTTATAAATGTACAAGAAAAAAACTCACATATTTATGAGTTTTATTCTCTTAAACGTCCTGTCATTTTTTCCCTCACAAATTTATTACTTTAATCTCAAATTCTGAAGGTTTTTTTCCCTCCAAAAACTACAAGCACTCCCCAGACCACTTACATTTTCTTATTACCTTCAAAAGCTCTAATACGCCGTCCGAGTCGCTAATTCTTGCAGCCACTCTAATGTCTCCTTTTTTAATCAACGCAGTGTCGAGTACGAGACTTTATAAATGAACTTTACACAGTCGAGTTTTAAACATGGATTTTGCTGAATTATCTCCCCAGTCAACATTTCTGTAGCTGAACCTACATCCAATGAACAATATACAGCAGACTGCACATTTATTTATGTATAAATTCTTTCTGATTGGTCAGATGGTGACCTCTCTGCCCTCTGCTGTCAGCATTATAAACCTTTGGTGCTACCTGGTCAAGGTCACTCAGCTCAGTGGAATGAGAAACAGATTTCAGGGTGAAAGGTCGCCAGTCTCTCTGGTCGCTAAGCATCTTCTCATAAGTTTCTTAATCTTCTCAAAAGCAACATTTTTGGGGGGTTTGTTTAACAGGAAAACATACAGAAAGGATGTCAGGGCGATGTCTGAGGACGTGCAGCTGACAGTAACGTGACTTTGACTTTGGATCTGTTTTTTACTTCAGACTAGAAACCAAAAAAGATCAACTGATGGTTATTCACAGTCAAAACTATTGCTGAGTTTTCACAAATAATCATGTAGTTTAGTGCAAAATGTATTTTACTGTGTTACAGCAGCCAAAACAGTGAACAATAAAATAAAGTGGCTTAAGAGGTGAAAATCTAAATGTGACATTTTCATGTAAAAAGCTGAATATAATAAAATAAATGGGTCTACAGAGTAAATAAAAAAAAGAATGTGTATTATAGTAGCTGTATAACTGACAATAACACCATCATCTGTTGTTGAAGCCATTGTTTTCTAAGACTTTCATACAGCATGTCATGGCTTCCATCATGGTGTCTTTTTGCGTGTTTTTCCTCTCACCGTGATCTGTAGGTCGCAGTCGGGGGCCAGCTGTGGGAATCCTGGGATCTGAGGCATGACTCCTATGGTGAAGGTCTGAGCATCGCTCTGAACAACTGGTTCTGCCTCTGAGGAAACCTGCACAGACAAACAGGTGCACAGCCTCCTATATGAGAGCAGCATCTTCAACAAACTCCATCCACCTCAGCATCCTTAGCTCCTCTGCTAACTGTAAGGCTTGAAGCCTTAAGTCTCAATCTGCAGCACACCAGCTGAAAAAATGTCTTGTTTTTCCACTGCAAAGGCATATTATAATTAATTTCTGAGTGACACAGCGGATGACAAACTCCTGAGAACCACCAGAAGTAAGACACAACCGCTTTGATAAAAACAAGCTGCAGTCTAATAACTGAACAGGAACATAAAGTGAGCCTGGCATCAGGCTGCACTGCAGGAACGAGCCACAGAGACTCAGTGTGCTTCTTTTCATAAATCACTGCCTACACCGTGAGAATATTAAAAAAGAGACGTCGATCTGAGTAAAATTCAGCTCGTGTTTTCGTTTTTCTTTCAGCATTGGAGCAGTTATTACTCTGAAGCCACACCACTGCTGTTTGCTCTTAAACGATGTTCTGAAATCCACACTAAACGTGTTTCAAGACTTTTAAAAAAGGACGCAGATGGAGCCTTTGAGGGTTTTTGTTAAGGAGCATGTTGCTCTTTGTGTTGACAGCAGTGGACAGCTGTTCTGTTTCTCAACATATGCTTCAGGCTGATGTGTCTGTGAAGTAAAAACTTAAAGTAATCACTTACAAATTAAAAATAATTTGTCATCTCTCATACTAAAAAACTGTGGAAATGTCACCTCACGCGCAGTTACTGTTTGTGTTGCAAGGAAAATATTCAGTGGGTAAAATAATAACTTGGAATAACACCCATGTATCACACACTTTATAAAACAGTCAAAGAAGCCAGAAAAGAAATCTGAGGGAAAATCCTGAAATGCTGAAGATGGTGGTCGTTCCACGTCTGAGAGCCAATCAGCAGCTGAACCAGGAAACACAGGAGCCAATCATGTTGTTGCATTGATGAATACAAACTTTAGAACTTCAGGCTAAAGATCTGGTTTAGGATGTGTGATGTCAGAGATAGTAAGTAAGTGTACTTGTGATTACATTTGCACTTATTTGACTTTTGTATAATTTTTTAGCATGAAAAGCAAAATGAAAAGTGGTTCAGCATTATTGTCTGTGTTTTAGTCATTTTGTTTCTGCGTTTGCATTTTAGTTCTAAAGAGATATTTGATGTTTGTTTAATATGTTATATGGTAACATTTTAATCTATGCTTTGGTGATTTTGCATCCTTGGGTTTTATTTAATGTCATATATGTACAGCGTTGGGGAGTAACGGAATTTACGTATCAGCGTTACGTGTGTAAAATACAAAAAATGAGTAACTGTATTCCGTTACAGTTACTGTTTAAACAGGTGATAATTAAAATACAGTTACTTTGTTGAAATAAATGGATTACACGGCAGGCTTGTCCTGTTTCACACGTTAAGCTATCCCCTCTCTATTTTTGGTGATTCCACGGATTGCCGGTCCGGAAACCCAATGGACCTTTGTAAGATCGATCTATTTATAAATACATCTATATCTCAATATATATATGCCATGAACAGGTCAGGTACTGCACGTACTGGACTTCCTCTCATGTCCACTTAACAGTTGTAGGCGCTGCTCTAGCTCACCTGGTTGAGAACAGATAACCCACATGCTCAAAGCCTGCAAAGGCCTGATGCTCAAGTCTTCCCTGGACCATTTTCTGTGTGTCATTCCCCCTCACTCTCTCTCTCTAATATCCTTTCAAAACTAAAGGTCATCCATATGAAAACTGGAGTTAGAGGCTTGGCCACTTTGATTGATGCTCGAGTCGCTGTTGCTAAACTTTTTGAATTATTTAAATTATATTACAGCTCACTGTGTTGAAATCTGTCCCTTACTTTTGGTACTTAATTACAGTACTTTATGTATAAGTATCTGTCTTTGTTAGTCAGTTCAGTCTATAACCTTTGACCTCTCTGCGTGTTTGTGAAGCAGCTGGCTGATCGTTTTAATTAGAATTTAAGATTATACTAATTGAATTGCTAAATAGAGAAAGATGATAATCGTCTCTGTGTTCTTCACTGGAACGAAACCAGATTTGAAATTTAGCTCTCTTCCTGTCTGCTGACGCAACACTTTTGAAAACTTTTAAGCGAATGCACTGTTGTCTTACTCGAGACCTCTAACGTATGTAGCCATAAATTGTTTAGTCCCCTGATAGACATGCAGAGGCAGAAGCCTTGGCTGTTCATTCTAAAAGCCAATTTCTGTCCCCACTTACTTATTCCGCTGCAGCTTGTTCCTGTCACATCAGTGGCATTTGCAGGAAGGAAAGTTCAAGAACCTGTAGTCAGCTTTGTCAGTCAGAAGTAATGTAGGAGCAGCATGAAGCCTGGAGTCAGCGGCACCAATCACAAGTAATGTGTTGTCATGAAAGGCAGTGTTGAGTCAGCTGGATTTATTGAAGCTGGCGCTGCTGCAGAAAATTATTGATCATGTTGATTTGCTTCAACATAAAAAGACATACCCTATTTTATAATCTTCATAAGGTTTAAAATCCAATCCATGAGACTTCCAAAGAAAGATTCAGCAGCTTTATTGCTGCC